GACAATATGCTGTAATAAAATATTTGTATTGTTGGTTCTACTGAAGAAGAGTATATTCAAATATTAATCTGTAATTAATGAAGAATTTCACTATGATCTGTTATTATTACCTTGATTGGTGCTGTGCAAGAGCAAACAATGGAAAAGAAGGAAACCTTATTGAATATTGCAGGATCTAATAATGAACCGTACTATCCTAGGTGGTTGTGTACGACCAATAGCTACTACCACCAATGTGTTCACAAGTACTTTATGATTCATACACTTATAAGTTTGATATCATTCAATTATTTTAGATCCGCAAAATTTGAATAAATCAAATTTTGCAAAGAGCAAATTTCTTTTATGCTCCCAATAGTGACTCTACATTCTGTCTAAGTCCAGCACAAATCAGTTTCACTTTTTAACTTAGGTAGTTCATATGTATCTGCTCTTTGACTCTCTTAAATAATTTATAAGTCAAACATGATCCATTTAATAGCTTACATCTTGCGCTTAAAATAATGGATCGCTTCCACTGCAAAGTAAATTTATAGTCTAATATTTTAATTAAGCTTTTCTGAAATTTCTCAGAACTCGCATAATGGTATAGGTTGCCCTAACAAGTTATTATAGCTATTCAATAGATATAGTTTCTTTGCAAAGTTATGCTAGTATCGGAACCTCAAGGTAGGGTATTCAAAAATATTTAACCACAACTCGTAACTACTACATAAATATGCTCAATTTGTTTCAGTTTCGTCATTCTGAGGTGTTTTGAGAGTAGGTGTCAGTGGTATAATCGTTCGAATCACTTCTGAGCTTTGAAAAGTGTCTTTGTAATTGTATCCAAAGAAGCCAAATGCGAGTTTTTAGGAAGTGTTTGGAAACAAAAAAATACATTATAGAGAAACGAAACCTGAAGAATAATTTCGAATAATTCGAAATGTTCGAATATATTATTCGAACACGATTATTCGGTCCTAACTATAGTAGTGAATATTCTTTATACGTTCATTGCTCATTTTCTTATGTGACTCTTGTGTTACACTTTACTTGCAAGTTTAGTATATTATAAGGCTGGATCCCCTGCGATAATGCTGCGTGCACGTTTTTCATACAAACCATTGTCTTTCGGGCCCGGACATCATAACCAGAATAGACTTGGATGAGACGTACCTTTACTTGCTTTTTGGAGTGGGGTTGAAGGACTTGTCAAAATTAGTGGCGCTGATATTGTTTGATTTTTTTTATTAGCTGAATTTCTTCAATTGTCCACTTGATATACAGTGACAGGAGAAGTTGACGCATTAGCGCTGTCAACAACGTAATCATTTATTAATGATCTTAGGGAAAAAACGACGATAGTACAATTAAAGCAATCAGATTTACAATATCTTCAAATTAAAATTTTGCAATTTTCTTAGCAGCGAAGCGAAATTTCACGACTTTTGAGAGATAATGAATTTTTTCTACTTCTGACATTTACTTCTAACTTCTTCATGCTCAAAGGGATATCGTAAAATCCGTGATTTTCAAAAGATCATTCGTTTTCGAAGATTTTGGAGGCCTCATGCTGAGGCCTGCTCCCCACCCTCGTATTGGTTACGACACAGTGCGGCCTTACCTTGTTCTTAAAAAAGAATCTACCAGTAGTAGTGTAGTCGTCTCGAATCTTTATCGGGCCTTTCCAGTGTATTCACGTAATTAAATTAGATTTACATGACAACGGTACACCTCAATCATTCCATAAAGCAGAAGTAAAGCACGATAAGTGATAATGCAAAAGATATAAGGTTAAAATAGTTGAGACAGAGAAATATGTTTTTGAGCAAAAAAAAACCGTAAATTTCACTCCTCTATCTCTTGCACAGACGTAAGTATGGCACTTAGTAACTTGACGAATGTTCGTTTAAGTGGAATTATTAGAAGTCTACCGTGAGGTAGTGATATTCTTCCCTAGATACACTGATTTGCTTCATAGTACTTCTTGATGTCGTGCACCTCTACCGTCTCACCATTGTAGATGTCTTCGCACAGTTTGCATAGTGCATTGCTTTCATATTTGTCTGGCCTCCGAAAATGTTCGGTCCATTCGAAGTACCTTGAAAAGAGAATTTAGGAAAATTTACAAGTAATTTTAGGGTTTTGAGTCTGCCTCTTGTGATCGAAGCTGTTATAGTCTAGTTTACTGATAAATACTAATCATAGATGGATTGCTGTTAAATAGTTTGAATTGGATCATTCTAAGTAAGTGGTTTGTATGTTTTTGTACTATCAATCTTCCTAAGCTTTAAAAGAGACATGATCGATCTCTGTTTTCCAATATATGTACTTGAAGGATGAAAGTTCTAAGAATATTAAAATTAATTAGTATCTATGCTCGCAAAAAGATTTGGATGCAATGCCTGCAATGCAGACAAACCTCAGATACTCGGTGTCGTTTTTGAGCAAGAAGTCCAAGTATCTCGCCAAATCTTTCAGTGATTTGTAATCATCTACCGCAATGAATGAGTGTGGTGGAATGCCTGCATCTGAGGTTACGTTAAATAAGAAATAAAGCATCGTAGGTGTGTCCGATATGGTACCTTCATAGATTCGTCTTTTAAACACAACCGGTACAAGTAACTGCGAAACCCGGTAGAAGAACTTTTCCGTAATGTAGTCGTTACAGTTACTGTTTTCAAATGCAATATAGAAGCGATGTGTAGCTGAAAAATTTGCCGTATTCTACAAGTATAATGTAGTGATGCTATGTACTATACCTATCAAATCATCGTCGCTGCAGTCTTCTTTGCATGAAGCACTTCTTGTTTTATTATTGACGGAGAGTGCCCTTTCACATCGTCCCCTAACTGTGACGTCAGTGAGGTTGCCTAGCTCTCTAAAATGACCTTGATTACTTTGAAAATGCTTTTTAAGATATTTCAAGTTAGAGCGCGAGAACCTTATTAATTGCTCACGTTTTGAGGGTGTTCTGCAGTTTGAGACGAATATCAACGATCCCTTTTTCTTCCTCTTTAGTGCAAAGAGAAGCTAAACGTAATTATTCATTTTTGTATATATATATATATATTTTTTGCTTGAACACATCGTAGTTGTCATAATGCTGTAAGTCCTTCTTTCATTTTCCATCCTAAGGCTATTTACATCAACTCACAACATCTTCAGACCATAAGATAGAATGTAGAGAAAAAATAAAGTAAGAACTGTGCCACTTGCTCATCAATATACTTTACCGTTCAAGTTTCTGAAAAACCTCATACTCAACTGAAAGCCTCCAAAGTTTAAACCATTGCTTATCCTTCTCATTAAAAAATTCTGCTATCTCATCAAATTTTTTTAGAATGACTGAAAACTCATTGATAATAAGTCCTTAGTGGTATCCAAACCTGATTTTTAGTTATGACTAAATCAGCGCCGTCTTTTGGTGTCCGTGGTTCAAAGTGGCCGTAGGGATAAAAGTAGCGTGAATCCCGTCTGTATGTGACTGTAGCGTTGAAGTAATCCCGCGGTACCTTGGATCAAAATCTATAGGCTTCTACCTATACGCCATTCTATAGACTTTAAAGTTACATTTAGTGTGGATCAGTTGATGAAAGCACTGGTCAATCGTTAAGTTCAACTCGCAGTTCAAAGAAAAATGAAGTGCATAAATTTCTTGCAAAAAAAATTACTTCTCTGCGTAACCTGGATGACACTGCGTCACTCTTTAAAATCAAAGGATACATACTCGATACATTTGAGATCCAGTGTGATAGGGCGATTCCAACAGAAACAGGATATTTAGATGCTTTGATTTCTGCTTTGGCAAGTCAGCAAGGTTCATGTCACGCCCATGAATGACATATGCAGATGCGCTCCTATTACTGAAACTACGTTTATCTGCTATACGATTGATAGTGGAAAAAAGAACCAACTAAATCTCGTGCTCTTTCCTGTCGATAAATTCGCATTGATATCTGCAGTTTTTTAAGGTTGGCAGGAGTCGGCTTTTTAGGTTTTGTGAGAAAAAATTCGTCCAGGCGACAATGAGAGGAGTTGCCTGAAATTGAGACGATTGAGCTCGACCAGAAATTTGCAGTGCTAAATACGTCATAGATTAGTTTTATAGGGTTCTGCTTCCTGTCGGCTTTTGAGGAAATCAATTGAAAGGAGATCCCAAGTACTTTCAAAAAACTACTCAACTCTCTTCGCCTTGTAAAGTAGCCATCTTTCTGTGTATGCTTTCTCTCTACACACTTTTTCATAACTACTATATGTTTCCTACAGAATTTCATATTGCTGTCAATCCGTTTGATACCTACCCGCGGTGCGTTTCGCATGTTTTGTGCATCTTGGTAAAGAACGAAGGACGTTGAAAAAAAAACAAGTAGCAGCAGTAACGTCAATGCACCTCCGAGAGGGGAACCATGTTGGCCTGAAACTGATTATTGTTGATTATGGTTTAGAGATTTTCATGAGTATTTAAAAGTAACGTTGAACATGTCTTATGCACCCAACCCAAGTTCTCTCAAATTTACACGGTATCAAGTTCCCACACTGGTTTACAATATAAAGTAACTCATCAATGCATAGAGGTTCTTAGAAAATTGAGGCTTGAGTGCAAATGATGAGCTCGCACAGAGTCCTGCAAAGCTAGGTTTTTGGCTTATTTAGTTGGACCCAAAAGGAAACATCTACAAATTTCGCAGCTTTGTAGGTTCCTGGAGGTCTCAAAGTATCTTAATATGTGGTTAAGTTTAGCGTTTAAGAACAATACCATTACTACAATATCATCCAAAAGTTTCAATTTTTTAAAATTCGAACATTTTTATGGTTTTCGGTCGACCTAATAGTTTCGATACACTTGGCTTTTTGACAGTTCTTTGATAGTTTCATGTGCGAGTGTCTGCAATAATATCTTATCAAGTGCAATTTCCTCTATCAGCGCCGAATGACGGTTTTCTAGAGGAAAGCTAATATCAGTGCTATTTTTTTACCAAAATAACATATGTTCTGCCAAATATAATCCATATATTGCTCGATACATTACACACACAGTAAACACGATCTTCTCTTCAAGGCTTACCTTCTCCGCAAATTTAAATAACAGCAGATCAGCGAATCTACTAAACCACTTTCTTCCAAAAAACATTTGAGTACTATACTCAAAAAATTGTGATAGGTAGTCAAACTGTCTGAAGGTTGATTAGTTGTTTTAAGAGTGCTAAGTGTAGTTCAGCAACGTTGCAAATTGCACTCCGAATGGTTATCGATGAAAGCGCCAAGTCCTCCAATAAAAAATAATAGTCAAAGCATTTGTTTTAGGTGGTTCATGAGTAGAGAGTCTAACATGACAAATAATGCTACTACCAGTGCCAGTACATGTTTTCTGCTGCGAATGATGCAAGTTTATTTCCTCGACTTCTCCGTTTTTAGTTTGACCAATTCTGAGATTATTTGTAATAGGGCCAACCTTTCCAACTACGCGGTATCGCAAGAGAACTTTTACGTTAGCAAAATTGTATCAATATCTACCACTAGTCTATGGACAAAAACCATGCGTTTACCTATGCATTGAAGCGAAGTTTGTATGGTA